AACAATCAAACACCCTGAAATTTTTTTAAATTCTACTACTAACACAAACAAAAGATTTTGAGATTTTTCGTAATTCTTTTGAAATTTTTTCAAAGCTAAAACACCAAGGTTCCCGCTATTCTTTCAGATTCTTTCCAAAATAAAACACAAGGAACCGCCAAATTTTGCTCAAAGATAGAACACCAAGAGCCTTCGAAATTCTTTAAAATTCTACCAAAAACTAAAACAAGATACTTTGAGATTCTTTAAAAAAATAAAACACCACCGTTCTCCAAAATTCGTGCAGACTTTTCCAAAAATAAATTGCTAAGGATTTCAAGATTGTTCCAGACTTTATTTTAAAAATAAAACACAAGGGGTCTCCAGGATTTTTATTATTTTTTTTTTTTTGAAGAAAAAACGCTAGAAGCCAACGATATTCTATAAAATTCAACCAAAAATAAAAATATAAAATCTAAAGACTTTTAGATTCCTTAAGAAATAAAACATCAAGTTTCCTCAAGATTTCTTATTTTTTTTTTAAATAAATTACTCACGATCTCCAGATTAATTCAAAATATTTCAAAAATAAAACACAATGAACCTCTAGAATCTTGCCATATTTTTTTCAAGAATAAAACACTAGAGACCCCCGAGATTCTTTAAAATTTTGTTCAACGATAAAACACCAAGAGCCTTTGCAATCCTTTAAAAAAGAGGGGAGCTCAAGATTCTTAGTAATTCTTTGAAATTCTTTAAAAATTAAAATACCAGAGTTTCGGCTGTTCTTTCAGACTTTTTCAAAAATAAAACACCTGGAAACTCTGAAATTCTTTCAAACTCTTTCAAGTAACCCCCAAGATTCTTTCAAATATTGTTCAAGGATAAAACACCAAGAGCCTTCGAAATTCTTTAAAACACCAGAGTTCCCCCAGATTTTTTCAGACTTTTTACAAAATAAATCATTAAAGATCTCGAGATTCTTTAAGTTTTTTAAAAAATAAAAAAAGCAAGATTTTTTATATTTTTTCAAAAATAAAACGCCGAGGACCCCCGGGATTGTGTAAAATTCTCCAAAAAAATACAAGGCCTTAAGATCTTTTGAGAATTAAAAAAAAAATAAAGAGAATGCGTTCCTGCGATTCTTTCCTTTCTTTTTTCAAGAATAAAACACTAGAGGCCTCTGAGATTCTTTAAAATTCTACCAAAAATCAAAAATAAGAGACCGAGAAATTACTTGAGATTCCTTAAAAAATTAAACGCCAGTTTTCCCTAAAATTCCTTCAAATTGATTTTTAAATAAATTACCAAGGATGTTCAGATCCTTTCAGAATCTTTCAAAAATAAATAACCATAGACACAGAGAATTTTTTATATTTCCTCAAGAACAAAACATTATGAGCCTCCGAGATTCTTCAAAATTCTATTAAAAACAAAAACAGGATACCTTAAGATTCTTAGTAATTCTTTGTAATTCTTTAAAAATTAAAATACTAGAGCTTCCGCTGTTCTTTCAGACTTTTTCAAAAATAAAACACCTGGAAACTTTGAAATTCTTTCAAATTCTTTCAAAAATAAAACCCAAGGAAATTTTGTTCTAGGATAAAACACCAAGAGCCTTGAAGATTCTTTAAAATGCTACCAAAAACTAAAACAAGGGACCGCAAAATACTTTGAGATTCTTTAAAAAATAAAACACCCAGTTTGCCCGCAGTCCCTTCAGATTTTTTATTCTTATAAATTACCAAGTATCTCCAGATGTTTTCACAATCTTTCAAAAATAAAACATAAGGGACCCTCTGGAATTTTTCAAATTTTTTCAAAAATGAAACATTAAGGGCCTTAAAATTCTAGTAGAAACAAAAACAGGAGACCCCAATATTCTTTGTAATTTTTTTAAACTTTTTAAAAATTAAAACACAGGTTCTAGCTACTCTTTCACAGTTTTTCAAAAATAAAACACCGGAAAACCCTGAAATTCTTTCAGATTCTTCCAAAAATAAGACATAAGGAACCCCAAGATTCTTTCAAATTTTGTTCGGGTATAAAACACCAAGAACCTTTGAAATTTCTTAAAATTCTGCCAAAAACTGAAACAAGGGACTACAAGATTCTTTGAGATTCTTTAAAAAATAAAACACCAGAGTTCTCCGAGATTCCTTCAGACTTTTTCAAAAATAAATTTGTAAAGATTTCAAGATTGTTTCAGATTATTCCAAAAATAAAACACAAGAAACCCCCAGGATTCTTTAATTTTTTTTTTTTTCAAGAATTAAACAATAGAAGCGCGAAAAGATTCTATAAAATTCTACCAAGACAAAAAGAGGAGACCCTACGATTCGTTGAGATTTCTTAAAATAAATCACCAGAATTCCTAGAGAATCCTTCAGACATTTTCAAAAACAAATAGTTAGGACCTCGAGATTCTTTCAAAAAAAAAACACAAGGACCCTCAGGATCTCTCCATTTTTTTTCAACAATAAAACATTAGGGACTCCAGGATTTTTTTTTTTCAAGAATAAAATACTACAAATCCACGAAATTTGATAAAATTCTACCAAAACCACAAATAAGGGAGCACAAGATTCCTTGAGATTCCTTAAAATACAATATCAGAAATCCTGGAAAATCTTTCAAGCTTTTCCAAAAATAATTTGTAAGGACCTCGAGGTTCTTCCAAAAATAAAAGACAAGGACCCTCAGAATCTTTGTATATTTTTTTGCAACAATAAAACTAAAATAAGAGAGCCCAAGATACCTTGAGATTCCTTAAAAATAAAACACCAGAATTCCTAAGGAATTCTTCAAACTTTATCAAAAATAAATTGTAAGGACCTCGAGATTCTTTCAAAAATAAAACACAAGGACCCTCAGGATCTGTCCATTTTTTTTCAATAATAAAACATTAGGGACTCCAGGATTTTTTTTTTCAACAATAAAATACTACAAACCCACGAAATTTTATAAAATTCTACCAAAAGCACAAATAAGGGAGCACAAGATTCTTTGAGATTCCTTAAAATAAAATATCAGAAATCCTGGAAAATCTTTCAAGCTTTTCCAAAAATAATTTGTAAGGACATCGAAGTTCTTCCAAAAATAAAAGACAAGGGCCCTCAAAATCGTTCCATATTTTTTTTTAACAATAAAACTAAAATAAGGGAGCCCAAGATACCTTGAGATTCTTAAAAAATAAAACACCAGAATTCCTAGGGAATCCTTCAAACTTTTTCAAAAATAAATTGTAAGGACCTCGCGATTTTTTCAAAAATAAAACACAAAGACCCTCAGGATCTCTCCATTTTTTTTTCAACAATAAAACATTAGGGACTCCAGGATATTTTTTTTCAATAATAAAATACTACAAAGCCACGAAATTTTATAAAATTCTACCAAAAGCACAAATAAGGGAGCACAAGATTCCTTGAGATTCCTTAAAATAAAATATCAAAAATCCTGGAAAATCTTTCAAGCTTTTCCAAAAATAATTTGTAAGGACCTCGAGGCTCTTCCAAAAATAAAAGACAAGGACCCTTTGAATCTTTCCATATTTTTTTTCAACAATAAAACTAAAATAAGGGAGCCCAAGACACCTTGAGATTCCTTAAAAATGAAACACCAGAATTCCTAGAAAATCTTTCAAACTTTTTCAAAAGTAAATTGTAAGCACCTAGAGATTCTTTCAAAAATAAAAACAAGGACCCTCAGAATCATTCCATTTTTTTTTAACAATACAATATTAGAAATTTCAGGTTTTTTTTTTCAAGAATAACGCACTACAAGCCCACGAGATTCTAAAAGATTCTACCAAAAACAAAAATAAGGGACCACAAAGTTCCTTGAGATTCCTTAAAAATAAATCACCAGAATTCCTAGGAATCCTTCAAATTTTTTCAAAAATAAATTGTGAGGACCTCGAAATTATGTCAAAAATAAAACACAAGGACCCTCAGGATCTTTCCATATTTTTTTTCAACAATAAAACATTAGGGACTCCAGAAATTACCTAAATTTTTTTTCAGCGAAAAACCTAAAAAATGGGCCGTAAAATACTTTGATTTTCTTTGAAAAATGAAACACCAGAGTTCTCCAAGATTCCTTCAGACTTTTTCAAAAATAAATGACTCAGGATTTGATGAATGTTTCAGATTCTTTCAAAAATAAAACACACGGAACTCTCAGGGTTTTTAATTTTTTTTTTTTTTAGAATAAAACACTAGAAATCCACGAGATTCTATAAAATTCTACCAAAAACAAAAATAAGAGACCACAAGATTTCTTGAGAATTCTTAAATAAATAAAACACCGGAATTCCCGAGAATCCTTCAGACTTTTTCAAAACTAAATTATAAGAATCTCGAGATTCGCTCAAAAATAAAAGAGTCTTCAAGCGGACGCAAGATACTTTGAGATTCTTTAAAAAATATCTCTGAGATCACAACAATTTCACACACCCTGTAATTTTTTGCCTAGGTGAAATATGTTTAAACATGTTTTATATTTGGAATAATTTAGTGAATATACAGGGTGTTTTATTTCAAAATTTTATTTGTAAAAAAACAACTGGAAGTCGAAATTCTTGCATCCTATATTATTTCTAGAATCAGCCATATTTTGGAATTAACACAGGTAACAAAAAAATTCAAACAGAACTTATTACAGCGTAAGCTCAAGAGCCAAAAATCAATGAGCTTTTAGCAGTTTAGAAGTGGTTTTCGTCCTCGAAAGGGGTTTTATGTATCCATGTAAAAATGTATTGAAATTAAACTTTCCTATTAATCCCAGAACTGGCATTTAAATGTAAAATAAATATCCAATTAGTACGAGCTTTTAAAGTTTGATGTTTTAAAAATAATAATCAATCGAATAAAGTTGCGCTCTTTGTTAATTAGAAGTCACTGAAGCGAATATTTTAAAACAACTTTTACAATAACCTGTAGAGACTATTCCATAAAATTTCCAGATTTGCCAGCGTTATTTCCATGAATAAAATGTAAGTCAATGAGGAATTCGGATCTCACCTGAAACATCCGCCCTCCCGGACTGGATCTCCCTCACCAGCCCGCTGAAATTCCCACTTTCCGCATCCACGTACCCGTAATTGTCGACAATCGAAAAAGTGTGATTAACCCTCATGTGCTGCAGCATACACATCGTCGACTCGTAATCCTGCTTCGTGAACGTATCCACCCCCGGATCCCTGCAACAAATCCAATAACACCATCCTCAGCGCCCCTCAAACCCACTTATAATCATCCAGATGATTCAAAGTATCGTTGACAAATACCACAAGACACACGACTAAATTAGCCCCTTTCAAATCCATTCGCCGCTGAGACGTCGGAACGTTCCAATAATGCTCATGCAAACCACCTTCCAACGTCCAATTTCCATAATTCTCCCAAGCTGAAATAATCATTTCTGACATGCACAAACGAACTCCCGGCTCTTACTTAATTCGCTCTTTTTCCCCACTTTGTAAGTTTCGTACAAAAAAGCTGAGTCGTTGTCAAAAACTGTAATAACAAGCTCGCAGTTTGGCAGGATTTGGTATTGACCGAGTTCTGCAGAAAGGGACGAAAAGTCGGGTTTATCAATAAGGAGCAGATACTTCAAAGGGTAGACGAACGTATTGCTTTGGTTCAGCTGAAATTTGTATTGGAATAGCCCGAAGGTGCGATTGTTTTTTTACCTGGAGAAGAATGAGGTTGGCAGGGAGGCAGTTGCGTAAATCCAGAACGAGGTAGTCGATGTTGGAATATTTTTTGAGAGTGTCGACTCGAGGGGCGGTGTAGTAGCCGGAGAAGTGGACGTCGGGGGAGTTCGCCAGGCTTTTCACCAACTCCACGTTTTTACCTATTGTTCGACAGAGTTACGAAAAAATTGTATAACATCGAGCCGGCGAAATAAACCCTATTCTTTTTATTGTTGATATTTCTATGAAAAAAATTTAGACCTAATCGCAGACGTACTTTTGCTCCAGCAGTTGTAGCTCGTGACCACCGCCGGCTTTCCCCTGAAAAACCCCGTCAAAAAATCCAAATCCGGCGACGAGCATCCTGAAAATCCGAAACGTAGTAAAAGCACAGCTAACCAAGCCGGATTTCGCATTTTCAGTTTAGTCTGAAACTGCGCCTCTGCATCGAACTATTTCTTTTATATCGACAGCAGAAAAGAAATCTTGTAAATTATGAAAACCAACGTGACTACAATTTCCTCTGTGTGACTAAGTGCGGTATTAGTGTCACCTGACTTTCTTTAAAGCGAGTGACGTGAAAAATACGGTGTTTCAAAAACCGGTGTGGAGTACGTGGCAGATAATTTATGACTTTATGGCGGCTATTTCTCTTTAAGTACATTTAGCGTGAGCGAAGTAATAAGTGAGACTTGGTTGTGTTTGTTGCAAGAAATAATTAAAGATGTTGTTGGATGGCAGCTAATGAGAGAAGGAATTTTTTGTTTAAGTACATTTGTTTTTCTCAAAGTGTAATTGCTATAGCAACTAATTAAATTAACTGAGACGTTGAACATTTGTACGAATAAAGGTACACCCGAGGTACATAAAATTTTTTACAACTAAAGACGGGAAGACAGATGTTCGGCACACGATGTTATTTTTCAAACAAAAAAAGCGTGGGAGTTTGTTTGTGTAGTTTCCTTGACATTTTCAGTCGCTTCTAATTTTTATTTTTATCTGCCAGTTTATAGATATTTAATATAAAACTTATAGTCGTCAAAAAACATCGCCCTTTTACTTTTTTCAAACGATAAAAAATTATTTAGCACTTTTTGAAATGACGTCATCAGGTTTCTGACGGGACAAATAAATGCACTTTGCTCTACAAATTATATTCGATTTTATTTTGCACGGAAAACACACGGTTGAAAGCACACGTAACATTCGTGAAATTTTAAAAGCACTGTTATATTAAAATAATAATTAAAAACACGGTTGAGTTAATTAAAACAATTTAAATTCAGAGAGGTCCCTAATTGTTATTTAAATGCAGTTAAATTAAAAAATATTGCTATTAAAAATTTTACGCTGATCATACACCTAGTATGAACGTGACCCTAGTTGCACTTATTATTATAATTATTTTCGAATTACATTACAATAAAATACATTTATTCAGCAGTTGTATCTCAGTTAAATTACCTTTCTCAAGGTATTTCGTAGCTTCTAGAATACGCAAATGTAAATTTTCTATTTTCGCTAGTTCGTCTGTTGTTTTTTTTTAACCAACCTTGTGTTGTCCTGAATTTGAAATTTAAATTTCTCGCTGCGAAAAAAACAACGCCGGAAACCGTGTTTGAAAATTAAAAATAAGAGAACATCGTACAATAGCGTAGGCAACCATGCTTATTTTATATTCTAAAACAAAAATACGAAGTTGTGTATATTGGCTCAAATCAAAACACTCTGTATAGTTGAAAATAATTTTACTGTATGATACTCAAAAAAGCGAACAATTTTAGTCTGTGACATTTTTCTGACTCTAATAAAAATTAATTCAGATCGTGTGAGTGATTCGCCCTGTATATTAAAAAACACTAGTGTTGAATTTTCGGTTTTCTTTCAGACTTATCATTATCATGATTTTCGATTAGCGTGTATAGAAATTTATCATAGTGTGAACAGAGCGACAAATATTTAAAAATATATCGTTCCAGTTCTGAAATAATGAACATTATTAAATTAATTTTTTATGGGTTTATTTAGTAATTACCATGAGTCTCCTAGAGGCAACTGATGACGAAAACTATAAGCTTGTAGGAATCCTAAAAAAGTCGATGAGAAAGCAGTTAATCGATATTTCAAAACCGGAACTAAACGTTGTCATGTTATTTTAATTTCCATGATATTTGTTATCAATGGAAATATTCCCAAAAAAATCATAATGACGTTGTTTTCAAAATTCGTGTTACAATATTTTGTGGAAAGTCTTAAATATATGGAGTATTTAAAAAAAAAAAATTATGACAATTTTGATATACCGATACTTCATTTATTTCGAATAGAACACCCGACTTTTCATATAGGCAGTTACTGAGATTTTCTACTTTTTTAAAGGACGCAGCGACATATTGAAAGATAGAAAAAAATAGAGTAAGATGCAAAAGTAAAATACAGGGTGTTGCATTAAAAACTGAAATATCAATTTTTAAAAGACGCGAGGTGTAAGATTTTTTTAAACGCTGTGCATATTAAAATTTTGAATTACTTTATACCAAAAGGACTTTTTTCTACCTCTAGCAATTAATAGGATATCAAAAACCGTGCGCTTAGTGACTCACCCTATATATTTAAAAACAGTTAAAGGTGAAATTCCAGTTTCCTTTAGCGGGCTTATCATTGCTATAATTTTCGATTAGTGCGCACTGAGATTTCTCATAGAGTACTTAGCGCAAATGGCAACAATGCGACAAATGTTTAAAAATGTATCGTTCCAGTTCTGAAATAATGAATATTAATAAAATAATTTTTTGTGAGTTTATTTAGTAATTACCATAAGCCTCTGAGAGGCAACTGATGATGAAAACAATAAGCTTGTAAGAATCCTAAAAAAATCGATGAGAAAGAAGTTAATCGATATTTCAAAACCGGAACTAAACGTTGTCACGTTATTTTAATTTCCATGAAATTTATTATAAATCAATCAAATCATATTAAGGTTATTTTCAAAATTCGTGTAACAATATTTTGTGGAGAGTCTTAAATGTATAGAGTATTTATAAAAAAATAAATTATGACAATTTTCATATATCCATATTTCATTTTTTTCGAATAGAACAGCCGAATTTTCATATAGGCAGCTATTGAAATTTTCTACCTTTTTAAGGAAGGCATCGACATATTGAAAGACAGAGAAAAATAGAGTAAGATGCAAAAGTAAAATACAGGGTCTTACATTAAAAAACTGAAATGTCAATATTTAAAAGTCGCGAGGTTAAAGAATTTTTTAAATGCTGTGCATATTAAAATTTTGAATTACTTTATACCGAAACGACTTTTTTCTACCTCTAGCAATTGATACGATATCAAGAACCGCGCGCATAGTGATTCACCCTATATATTAAAAAACAATTGAAGGTGAAATTCCAGTTTTCTTTAGCGGGCTTATCATTTTGTTATAATTTTCGATCAGCGTGCACAGAGATTTCTCATTGAGTACTTAGCGCAAATGGCAACAATGCGACAAATGTTTAAAAATGTATCGTTCCAGTTCTGAAATAATGAATATTCATAAAATAATTTTTTATGTGTTTATTTAGTAATTACCATAAGCCTCGTAGAGGCAACTGATGACGAAAACAATAAGCTTGTAAGAATCCTAAAAAATTCGATGAAAAAGCAGTTAATCGATATTTCAAAACCGGAACTAAACGTTGTCACGTTATTTTAATTTCCATGAAATTTGTTATCAATCAATCAAATCATAATAAGGTTATTTTCAAAATTCGTGTTACAATATTTTGTGGAGAGTCTTAAATGTATAGAGTATTTATAAAAAAATAAATTATGACAATTTTCATATATCCATACTTCATTTTTTTCAAATAGAACACCGGACTTTTCATATAGGCAGTTATTGAGATTTTCTACTTTTTTAAGGAAGGCGCCGACATATTAAAAGACAGAAAAAAATAGAGTAAGATGCAAAAATAAAATACAGGGTGTTGAATTAAAAAACTGAAATGTCAATATTTAAAAGTCGCGAGGTTTAAGATTTTTTTAAACGCTGTGCATATAAAAATTTTGAATTACTTTATACCGAAAAGACTTTTTTCTACCTCTAGCAATTGATACGATATCAAGAACCGCGTGCTTAGTGATTTACCCTATATATTAAAAAACAATTGAAGGTGAAATTCCAGTTTTCTTTAGCGGGCTTATCATTGCTATAATTTTCGAATAGTGCGCATAGAGATTTCTCATAGAGTACTTAGCGCAAATGGCAACAATGCGACAAATGTTAAAAAATGTATCGTTCCAGTTCTGAAATAATGAATATTCATAAAATAATTTTTTATGAGTTTATTTAGTAATTACCATGAGTCTCGTAGAGGCAACTGATGACGAAAACAATAAGCTTGTAAGAATCCTAAAAAATTCGATGAGAAAGCAGTTAATCGATATTTCAAAACCGGAACTAAACGTTGTCACGTTATTTTAATTTCCATGAAATTTGTTATCAATCAATCAAATCATAATAAGGTTATTTTCAAAATTCGTTTTACAATATTTTGTGGAGAGTCTTAAATGTATAAAGTAGTTATAAAAAATAAATTATGACAATTTTCATATATCCATACTTCATTTTTTTCGAATAGAACACACGACTTTTCATATAGGCAGTTATTGAAATTTTCTACTTTTTTAAGGAAGGCACCGACATATTGAAAGACAGACAAAAATAGAGTAAGATGCAAAAGTAAATTACAGGGTCTTACAGTAAAAAACTGAAATGTCAATATTTAAAAGTCGCGAAGTTTAAGATTTTTTTAAACGCTGTGTATATTAAAATTTTGAATTATTTTATACCGAAAAGACTTTTTTCTACCTCTAGCAATTAATACGATATCAAGAACCGCGTGCTTAGTGATTCACCCTATATATTAAAAAACAATTGAAGGTGAAATTCCAGTTTTCTTTAGCGGGCTTATCATTGCTATAATTTTCGAATAGTGCGCACAGAGATTTCTCATAGAGTACTTAGCGCAAATGGCAACAATGCGACAAATGTTTAAAAATATATCGTTCCAGTTCTTAAATAATGAATACTAATAAAATAATTTTCTGAGTTTATTTAGTAATTACCATAAGTCTCTTAGAGGCAACTGATGACACAAACTATAAGCTTGTCAGAATCCTAAAAAATTCGATGAGAAAGCAGTTAATCGATATTTCACAACCGGAACTAAACGTTGTCACGTTATTTTAATTTCCATGAAATATGTTATCAATCAAGCAAATCATATTAAGGTTATTTTCAAAATTCGTGTTACAATATTTTGTGGAGAGTCTTAAATGTATAGAATATTTATAAAAAAATAAATTATGACAATTTTCATATATCCATACTTCATTTTTTTTAATAGAACACCCG